TTGGACATAACAAAACACTTTAGTGTTTCATGTGAAGATTCAAACCATATTAGGTTACTGGTTTACATGTTACATATTGTGAGAAAATTTTTCAGTTGTCTTCCGTTTTCTTTTTAAAATAATACTAGATATTTAAATGAATGAGGGTCTGAAACTCCACCTGAGTCTACTCAGGTGTGAGCCAAGGGCTAATGCTGGCCCATGAATTATTAGTCCAGATGGGATAAATACAAAATTTGAGAGGAAGTTCAGAAACGTTTCTAACAATTTGTCAGAGTAGCATTATGCCCGATAAATCTAATAATAATAAAGACAACAGACTTGTATTTTGTGAATTTTGGGGGTATTCATTTCATTTTTGTACTACAGCATATGACAAAAAAAAATGTGACAGTTCAGAAATTAAACAAACATACAATGAACAATTCTGTAAACAACAATACTGGTACTACACCAGTTGTGGTCTAGAGTAACAGAAATTAATTTCTCCTGCATATTCTTTCCTATAACAGCATTTGGAGGCGATTGAGAAACTTCTTGTTAATGCACTGGGACCCTCCACTAGATATGGGAGAAGTCAAACAGAATTACTTGCTTTCAACTTAAAAAGTGAATCCTGTCCAGGATATAGAAAGAGAACATTCTCAACATCAACTCTTAGAAAGAAAATACAAGGGTTCTAGAGCTATTCTTCTACTAATGTCTAGCTATGGATTCCTAACTGTCAATATTCTAATCTATGTAGCTGTAATGTTTGTCTTGCCATCCACAGAGCCCTACAGTGTGGAAGGCCATGTACTTGAGTCAGGGGATGGAGGATTTGGATTTTGCTTTACTGTCAGGTAACCTCTCTGCGCCTGAGATTTGTCATGGGAAAAAGTTTAACTAGATGAGTGGTTCCGAAACTTGTGCTCCACAGAAGTTTTCAGAGATGTTAGGTGTGCTGCACATGTCCACCAAAAATGATCCTATGAGTAGATATTACGGGAACACACTGCATACTCATATTCCTCTCTTGATCCCCTCAGTTTTGCATTGTGCACCTACATATAAATGCTATAAGGAGTGGTCCAGTAAAGAAACACTGACTCAGAATGTTTTTTTGTTGTTGTTATGCCTCTGAACAGCTCACAAACAACCTACTCAGATTGGCATTCATGAACTTTTTGGATGTCATGCACTTCAGAAATTGACAGTGGGTGCTATGGGAAAAGACAATTGTACTAGAGGCGCTTTTCCTAGGGTGCATTCTGAAAAACCACACACTTATGTATCTTTCTATGGGAAAGTATAGATCGGAGAAAGGATAAGTAAAGCTCTCTGATCCCTGGGATTGGACATTTCTATAGAATAATAGTAATATTAAAGTGTCACCAATTTAGTAATTTAGTTCTCTTAAGTTCATTTTTGCTGAGGCCTTCACTTCTGAAAAATGTTGATGATAGAGTCTGGGGACGCTGAGTGGCCAATAATATTCAGGCAGTCAGAAAAATGTTCACTATCATATTTCAAATCTAATTTCACTCTTTTGTTTGGGAAGAACTCACTGTGTATCAGTCTTAACACTAGGCACTGAAAAAGAGAATGAACAAGTAACCCAAAACACTGAATGACAAAAACAACTTGAATCCCTTTTTATGGATCATGGCATTAGCATTTCTTAAATTGCCCATTTCACTGCTGATTTTTTTAACTATCCCTAGGGTCAAGTTCCATTAGTGAGTTTATTCAGACTGAGGAAAGGGGACAACTTTCTCTTCCACTGTGAAGTTTCTGGTGTTTCAGTAGGCTGCGAAAGTTTCCGTACATATACAAGAAGCATAAGGTTGTTTACCTGTGTGGGACTGTCTGGTCTAACAAAGTAAGAGTTCTGACTGAATCTATTTCTATATTCAGAATATGGAAAGGAGTTTTACCCTGGTATGCATGCAGATTTGTGTAGCAACTGAAGCTTTTCCCAGACCACATTTATAGTTTTAATTCCTTAGAGTATCATGAAATGCTTATTAATATCTTAACGCTGTCTAAACATATTTAATTGTCAACCTTTGTAGGGTTTCTCTTCACTGTGACTTCTCTGGTGGATAATAATGCCAGAGCTCCCTTCTTGTGAAGCTTTCTTCACATCCCTACTATTCAAAAGGTGTATCCCCTGAACCATCCATCTTATAAAGATTCATATGTTTGGGTAGCTCTTGGTTACACAAACGACATTTCCTTCTCAACTTCCCTGAACCATCTTCATGATGTTTCTCCATCGAAAACGCTTCATAAAGATTTCCTATGCCCGCTGCTTCCTGGGGAATTTCCTCGCTGGTGTTTCCTGATCCTTGCTCAAAAGGAAATGTTGGCCCATCATTTTTAAACTTTAACCCTGTAGAACAAACAGAATGGTCAGACATCTGTGTTCCAGAGCAAGAAAACCCCAGGAATGGAGAAAATGAAATGATGAATAATTTTTAGAAAGCAAGGAACAAGTGATTTCTGGTCTGTCTGGAAGAAATGATGTGGGTCCTACAAACTCAGGATATAATGCAACAAAATCAAAAGGAGAACTCCAGAAATGGTGATAAGGAGGCAAACTGGTTTGTGACTCTAGGGTTGGAAGAATATGTCAACATAAGGTGACCCAGATCCAATATTTCCTAGCCCCTTACCCAGTGACAGAATTCATCCATGGTCACAGGACATCTGTCTGGACTCCTGCCTAAAGAAAGCGCCCTGGAGAAGTAATCCCCTTCCATATGTGACCTGAGACTCCTAACTCCCTGACCAAAACTACCAATGTGTAACGACAGAAGTAGCAGGAGGGACACGTGGATATCAAGATCACACTGGTTGCTGTGTGGAAAATGAAGGGGTCAAGACCAGAGGCACAGGAACCCCGGTGAAGAGTTGTTGTAAACTTGGGTTACTGATAACAGTGGCTTTGACTAGGAGGCTAACAGTGGATGAGGACGAGACATAGTTGGATTCAGGATATGTTTTGAGAGTAGAACTAAGGGAACTTACTGAGACTAGTTATGGGTATGACAGAAAGAATGGTGCAGAGGATGGCAGTGAGGTGTTTGGAGCCCTTCACTGAGATAGGAAAGACAGGGGACGAGTAGGTTTTCAGGGTAATGGAGGACTATAGAGGACAAATTCTATTTAGAAAGAGTTGTTGTTGTTGAGTGCCATTGAGTCGATTCCGACCCATAGCAACCCTGTATAGGGTTCCCAAGAAGCAGCTGGTGAACTTGAACCACCGACAATGAAGTTTAAACGGCTTTGCAGTCTGGTACATTAACCCACAGAGCCATACCAGGACTCCTATATTTGGGAAAAGCTCTCCCAGTGATCTGCATACATCTTTCCCCTTTTCCTTACCACTGGGTGAGACTCTTGTCTTCCAGGGTTGCAGTCTCTGTAAACTGAGTTAAGAATCAATCAGACTTTACACAAAGAGAAGAGCAAATTTTTACCCAGAGAAATGGCAGATCCATAGACGTCCTGCATCACCTCCTTGTAGAGCTGCTTTTGGCTAGGATCCAATAGCTCCCATTCGCTTGGGGAAAAATTCACGATCACATCGTCGAAGGTCAACATATTCTAAAGAAAATGGGATTAGGTCAGTACTTGCCACTACTGTGACCAGCTCAGAGGCTTTCTTTGTGTTAGTCTTCAATCCCAAGTCCTTTGCATTATCTTCTTCTGCTGGACTCAGCATGTGAGTCAGTGAGTCCCAAGTCTCATACACAAACCCAGTCATTAACAATTTTTTCCTAATATCCCCTTACTATCCTGAAGTGAAATTCAGAAAAAAACATGACATTGAGTTTTAAAAATCCATGGCTTATTGGTGTAAAGTCATAGACTAGTAATGGTTTTTACTTTTTAAAGGGGCTATTTAAACATATCTATCTAGAGTCCTGGTGTGGTGCTATAGGATAAGCACTGGGCTCCTAACCACAATGCCCGTGGTTTAAACCTGCCTTAGGAGATCTGTCTGGACTAAGGAACCTCAAAAGGGGCTTCATCACTTACAAAAATATGAAAGATGTATCTATATTATTAAATCTAAACCTTTGAAAATACTACTTAAAATCAGCTTCCAAATCCCCTGGGATGCATGTCCCTAAAGCTCTCCAGATGCATGTTAAAATTTGAGGACCACTGACCCAGGCGCTACAGGGCTAGTGATGGAAGGCTAATGTCCAGATGGGGCAAGGCAACTGGGCTGCATAGATTGCTTGCTCCTATGTTTCCCCTTCCTGTGCAGTGTTCCTACATTGTGCCCCTGTCCTGACACTGCCCTTCCAAAAGCACTGGCCCAAGTGTGGCCAGAAACTTCTCCTGAAGTCACAAAGGCACAATTGTGGCAGTTTGGCGTTTTGAAGAGCCTGTGATATACTGAGAAAAGAATAAAAAAAAGTGGAAGTGAGTCAAAAACAGTCCAAGTTACAAAACAGAGATGTCAGAGCAATTCAAAACTCACTGTCAGCACTCAGCAACTGTGTCCCTTTCCAAATCTTCATGTTTGGTCGTTCAACATATGAACTCCTATTAAGAACCAGGCTTTGTGCCAGACCCTGAACATCAATAGCACACAAGACTGACACAGTCCTGTGGAGGATTCAGATCTGCCAATAGGAACTGCAAGATGATGCACAGGAGGACCAGCTAACCTGTCTTTGTCAGAGAAGGAAGACTTCTGGGAGGACACGGGACCTAGATTAAAGCTTGTGGGATGGTTGAATAGGAGTTAGCCTAAAGACAATGCCCATAGTGGTGAATTCTACCAAGCATTCAATGAAGTGCTGACACCAACTCTACTCGAATTATTCCACAGCAAAGAAAAGGATGGAAAACTCCCAAACCCATTTTATAAAGCAAGCATAATCCTGATACCCAAGTCAGGCAAAGACATTACTAAAAACAGAAAATCATGGTCCAGTATCACTCAGGAACATAGATGCAACAATTCTCAGCAATATGTCTGAGACTTGAGACCAACTAACTCACATATGAGTCCGGCCGAAGAAAAATGTGAAAAAGAAGAAAAGACGTGGGGCTAGAGAACACATCCCAGCTACCTCTGTTACCTCTTTTTGTCTGATTGCAAATATCGCACATTCTTTTCTCACCTGCTGCTGCTCCGCTACCACTAGTTCTTTCTGTAACTCTTCTATCAGGGACAGAATTCTTTCCCTATTCTCTGAGCGGTAGAGTTTCCCCCAGGTCTGTAGCTCCATGGGCAGAACACATAGGAATTGCTCAAGCACGAGCTGCTCCAAGATTTCGTCCTTAGAACGCATCTTGGGCTTCAGCCAGTTGCTGCAAAGCTCCCAGAGGTTGTTGAAAGCTTCACGAGGCCCGGCCGTCTTTTGGTATTGGAAGTGCCTGAAGCGCTGACGGAAGACTTCACAGTCATCATTAGACTGTTTAAGTGTGGAGCTGTGATTCCCAGAGGCCTGGGTTGTGCAACCCAAGAACTCAGCCATTGTTCCCTTCCAGCAGCTTAGAACTGAACTAACAGTCCAGAAGTTATCTGCAGCCTAGGATGGAGAAAACACAAGAAAGAAGAAAAGCAGTGATTACAAGAGAGCACAATTAATTTTCACTAAAGCCCTAAAAGCATAAGTTCTTAATCTTATTGGTGGTTTATAGAATCTTGTAATTAAGTGTGGACTCATTTCTGAGATAAAACAACATCGATATTCAAGTGTACCAGCATTAATACAAATTTAAAACATTTACAAAATCTCCCAGACCACTCATGGATATTCTAGAATTGGCCTGTCCCAGTAGATGCAAGAACCATGTGGCTATTTAAGTTTAAATTAATTCAAAATAAAAATCCATTTCCTCAGTCACACCTCAAGCGCTTACCAGTGGAAAGTTCTACTGGACATCTCTACAAGAACCTCTGGAGAAGGACACCTGCCTTTCCAGAACTGCCTAGAGGTGACTACAAACCCACTCCCAATTTCACACCAGCTGTTGTACATTTCTGATCATAGATGGACTTCCAGAGAAACGGAGAAGGCAAGCTAACAGTCTTGAATAACCTGAAGGTCCATCTAGTATTAAATAGCCTTCCACCAAAGGGTTTCATCCTTAGTTGAAGCCATGCTTTGCAATGGCACCCCATCATCAACCCCCAGGTATGCATTGTTCCTCTGATGTCTCCGTGCAGACCTGCTGTTATAACATTCCGAGAGGCTATCATCAAATGGTCACAGAGGCGGTCACACAGGTCTCAACACCTGTGTGACCTTTTTACTTGAGTGGAAAATGGAAGGGGGAAGGGAGCGAGAGAAGGGGGCGGGGCAAAGGAGAGGGAGGGGCGTGGAGGAGGGGAC